CCGCGGGACGAAAACGGCTCTTTGATTGCGCATCTATTCTTCACACCCCTCCGACAAATTCAACTTCACCCTAGGTCAACTCTCTGCTCTCACCCAGAGAAAACAAACAACAACCGTGCAAACAAATCACGAGCGATAGCCATCAAAGTCAACCGGCGCAATGTGGTTCTCAAGGAGCGGCTCGCTCCTCCTGGGCGCAATGGCAGCCTTGCTGTCGCCTGTCCTGGCCGAAAACATGCTCGTGTCCACCTCTCTCAACACCTGTCAAGACAACTCGGGTCTCCAGGCCAGTTTCTTCAACGTCATCTACACCCCGAACAACAATTCAGCCACGATCCACCTGGTGGCCACGTCCTCGGTCCAAGGCTACGTCAAGTTCGACGTCGAGGCCTCTGCCTATGGATACACCTTTCTCAAGACCACCGTCGACCCGTGCGACATCAAGCTCGGCGGCATGTGCCCAATGACGGCCGCTGCCAAGTTCAACATCCCCTTCAACATCGACGTCCCCGCCTCCGCGGCCAAGAATATTCCTTCCATCGCCTATTCCGTCCCCGATCTCGACGCCAGCGTGAGAGTGCGCATTAACCTTACCAGCACTGGAGAAAGTATTGCTTGTGTCGAGGCTGCCATCTCCAACGGCAAGACGGTCAACTTGACCGGTGTCAAGTGGGCTACCGCCATCATCGCCGGCATCGCTTTGGTTTCTTCCGCCATCTTCAATGGACTCGGCCACTCCAACACGGCTGCCCACGTCGCTGCCCTCTCACTGTCCCTGTTTGGCTACTTCCAAGCCCAGGCCATGATCGGCTTGACCGGCGTTAGCCTGCCCCCCATCGCCCAAGCCTGGACCCAGAACTTCCAGTGGTCCATGGGCATCATTCACGTAAACTTCATGCAAAGCATCTTCACCTGGTATCAGCGAGCCACCGGCGGCACGCCCGCTACCCTCTTCAGCTCCCTGGGCTCTGTTTCCGTCGCCGTCGAGAAGCGTGGTCTGGATGCCGGCATCGAAATGGGCAAGGGCCTCGTCAGACGTGGTCTTGCCATGGTGCCCGACGCCGCCGTCAACGTCATGAAACGAAGTGGTAACATTCTGTCCCCATCCGGAGGCTACGTTGTGTACGGAATCCAGCGTGTGGCGTTCCAGGCCAAGATCGAAACGACCAACCTCTTCATCACGGGCCTGACCTTTTTCTGGCTCTTTGCCATCTTCACCATGCTCAGCGTCACTCTGTTCAAGGGCATCTGCGAACTCCTTGCCAAGCAGGGCGTCATGAAGGCGGACAAGTTCCTCGAGTTCCGTAATGGCTGGCGCACCGTTCTCAAGGGCATCTTGTACCGTATTGCCCTCATTGGTCTCCCCCAGCTTTCCATCCTGTGCTTCTGGGAGTTTACGCAAGTCGATTCCGCCGCCGAGGTCGTGCTCGCCGTCTTTTATTTCTTCTGCCCACTCATTGCCCTCTGCTGGGGTGCTAGCAAGGTGATTATCATCGCGCGCCGGTCCATCAACATGCACGGAAACCCAGCCTATATCCTCTTCTCCGATCCCCAGGCTCTCAACAAATGGGGTTTCCTCTATGTGCAATTCCGTGCTTCCGCGTACTATTTCATCGGACCCATCTTAGTCTACACCCTCATCAAGGCCATGTTTGTGGCCTTTGCGCAAAAGACAAACGTCGCCCAGGCCATTGGCTTCATCATCCTCGAGGTCGGCATGCTCATTACCACGTCGGTCCTGCGCCCCTGGATGGACAAGAAGACAAACTCGTTCAACATCGCCATCTACGTCATCAACTTCCTCAACTCCATCTTCCTGCTCATCTTCACCAACGTTTTCGGAGCGCCCCTGTTGGCCATTGGTGTTGTCGGCGTCATCCTGTTTGTTCTCAACGCCATCTTCTCGCTGGTTCTTTTGCTCATGGTCATCGCCTCGACCGTCTATTCCATCATCCGCAAGAATCCCGATGCCCGGTATCAGTTCATGGCAGATGACCGAGCATCCTTTATGAAGTCGCAGACGCAGCTCAACAGCGGCGCCGCCACCGAACTGGATGCCCTGGCAGTGACCGCCAGAGGCGACAAGGCCGGCTATAAGCTCGATGACGAGGAAGCGTCCATCACATCCAACGAAGTGCGCCACCCCACGGACACGACAGCCATGACTTATGCTCCCCAGTCCATGACGAGCCAGCCCTTTTACCAGCCGGCTCGATCAGTATCTCCAGTCAACCCATCCGTGCCACTCTTCCCGGCCAATGATCAACATTCTCACTCATCGTTGGGTCACGGCCAATCACCGTCGCCGATCGGACGTACTCCCTCGTATGGCAGCGCCACGAGCCCTGGCGGCTACCGATCACAAAACAACGCAAGGTAAGTCTCTTTGACATGATGATTGATGGCTTTTGGGTCTAAACTAACTGGCGTGTCTACATAGCCCCTGGCAGCGTGGTGCTGGTTACGACTAAATAAGCTCCATCCCGACTGTCTCCTTTACCTACAGTGACGCAACATTTTTTCTTTTATTGTTGAATTTGATTTGTCTATTTATAATTGATCGCGCGAATCTCACGAGGGAGATTGATGGTCAACCTGATGCGTTCACAGCAGCAGACTTGGCCAAGTGTGTATATGTGTGCCAGCTGCCGTCGATATTCTTTGAAGAGCAATCCTCGTCAATGCGTGGCAGAAAAGGAGTGGGCGGGTTGACTCTGTTACGGCGATGGGATGCGACGCGATGCGATGCGCGTAAAGGGCGTTTATATAAGAAGGGCTGACCTTTTTTCTCGTTGTCTTGGGCTGCTTGAAAGGGAGTAAACCTGTTTGAAAAGAGCGAGCACCTCTAGAAAGCATTTTCATCACTGCTGCTGCTTGCTCTTGATTATTTTTTCTCATGTATGTACATAGGATCTCGCAGGAGAGATCGAGTCGGCCATGTTAGAGGCCGATAGTTACGACTACTACTACTACTACCACTACTACCACTTACTACCTAGTACCTTGTCCTGTCTTGTCTTTGTTTTTGGGCTCCAGATATGTAGAGCATGCAATCTTGGATAGACTTGAAAATGATGATCCCAGTCATGCGGTTCTCGGTGGTCTTTCTTCTTTCTTCTTTCTTCTTTTTATTCTTTTTTCCCTCTTTTTTCCCTCTTCTTTTCTTTCTTGCTTTCTTATTCTTCCCATTTGTCAATCTTGCTCATTCTTGTACTCTTTGATTCATCATTTTCCTTTCTCCCCCATTTTGGCTAATTACGCCTTTTTTTTTCTTTTGACAAAATGGTTATTTTTATGAATAAATTCTAGACGCAATTCTTTTCATCATCTTTTCCTAGCTCTTTTTCCTTTGTCACTTTTTCTTCTTTTTACGTTGTTCTCCTTGGTGGGCTGTATTTCTCATGTTGGAGGAAGAAGAAGAAAAAAGAAAAGAAACGATGAAGAAGCCCCGGTCATACAGCCTAGTAGGGTGCGATGAGCGTGGCAGGGAACCTCCGTAAAGCAGAACCCTTTTAGAGAAACCCATGTTTCAAGTAAGGTTGCCTGCTTACCCGGTCCAAACACGGCACTCCAATACCACCCGCCCTAGCCTATTTCTTTTTCTTTCCTTTCTTTGGCATCGGGCCGGCCGCTCATAAGCTTGGTCTTGCATCTCCCCAAAAGAAGGAAGAAGAAGAAGAAGAAGAAGAAGAAGAAGGAGAAGCTCTCCAGCGTATGCATGCGTGCGTATTGAAATGGACCCTAACAAAAGAGGAGCGCGGTGCCTTTTTGTTGACGCACCCCGGGCTCGACTTGCGCACATGTGCCGGAGAATGCGGGGGATGCAGCCGGTAGTGCGTTATTGCGCCGTGGATCGTACCGAGCAGGATCAAATAACGGAATAAAGAGTAAGGTAGAGTAGAGCAGAGTAGCATTCATTTGGCGGTGTCGCGTTCTTTCGACTCTGCTGCGTGTTGGTGACCCCTAGATTGGCATCGGACGGAATGTCATGTTATGAATAGGAGGCAAGTTGGTCGTTTGCTGTCATTTTTGTTATGCGTCGAATATCATATCATATCATATCATTCATTCCTCTTATTCATCGCTGTGGGCACAGAGTGAGTGAGATCCAACGGACCATTACACCCAGCACACCCACATGGGTTGTTCGCACCCCGGTCGTGTCATTGAAGCCATGCTAACCTTGAGCAGGAAGCTTGAAAACACGCTGGTGAGGGCCCATCGGGTCTAATTGCGCGGTTAAGGGCCGAATCCATATGCACAGTTGGTTTCTATTTTGTCTTTTCATCCTCTCCTTTTTCTTTCGGCCCTAAAAACCCCTCCCCCCTCCTCATTGTGAGAAGCAGATGTGTTAACGGTCGTCATGCTGCAGGAGACATGTACGAACGTTCTCGGGGAGTCTCGGGCGCGATGCTTCAAACGCAAAGAAAAGTAGAGGCGAAAAGAGAGAGAAAGGGTGCTAGTCGTAATATATTATAGGATGAGAGAGGAGTCAATTCCCGAATACTCGGTCCGATAGTGCGAGATGTGCCGCGCTCCATCAACGGGGGTCTGCGGATAAGCTGTTGGTTAGTTCGCGTTGGCATTGGAGGTTGTTTGGTTGTTTCGAACTCCTCTGCTATGGCCACAGAGAGCCCCTGGCACGATGGCATGCTCACTTGCTCATGAACCCGGAAGGAGTCCACGCAAGATGAACAGGGGATTGGGACTGGGTTCAGCCAAGACAACTGGAGCTATTCTTGCTCATCATGGTCAGCAATCTCAATAGTGCTCGATGACATTTCGAGTATATAAACCTCGACATGGAGACGGTTAGAGTGTCCAGGATACAGAGGATACAGAGAGACTGCATCATCCGAGGTTTCTCACTTTCGAGTCAGCAGAGCCTTCTTCCGTTTCACTTACACCGTCACTTACACTCTTGTTCTTGTTCTTTTCAGTCCCTGCCTCTCTTTATTCCTTATCCTGCTGCTGCTAGGATCTTTGAATCTCTCGCAACAATGGCCATGCGCTTCCTCGCCACCGCTGGCGTGCTGCTCTCGCCTCTCCTCGCGGCCGCCGCTCCATCAGCAAAGCGTGGTCTCATCTTCATTCCTAACTCGACGACCCTGCAGGACAACTCCATCTGGGTGAAGACGGGCTCCGACCTGACGTGGTACTACAACTATGGCAACCTGCCCAGCTCCGACTACGCCTCCATCCCACAGTCCAAGTTCGAGTTCGTGCCCATGATGTGGGGAGTTGGACCGAACCCTTCCCAGGACTTTGCTTTCCGAGACAGCGTTATCAATCTCATCAATAGCGGTACCAACATTTCCCACGTCATGAGCTTCAACGAGCCCGATGCTCCGTCTTCGTGGGGTGGCAGCGATGTGTTGCCGCACAACGCTGCTCTTGCTTGGATCGCCAACTTCATTCCCCTGCAACAACGTGGCATCAAGATCGGCGCACCTGCCACAACCGGGGCACCATCAGGGCTAGATTGGCTTCATCAGTTCTTTGGAAACTGTACTCAGCTCATTGGCAGGGATTGCCCGTATGATTTTGTCTCGTTGCACTGGTATGACAACTTTGATGGGTTGAAGGCCCACATTAGCGACTACACCGCAGCGTAGGTTTTTTCCCGGATGCTCCAAAACATCAGTAATAGGAGGGAAATGTGACTAATTCGATCAAATTGTATATAGATTCCCCGGCAAGAAGCTCTGGGTGACGGAATACGCCTACGCCAACCAGCCCCTGGCCGCGACGCAGCAGTTCTTCAACACCAGCGCCAGCTACATGGACGGCCTGAGCAACCTGGAGCGGTACAGCTACTTCGGCGCCTTCCGGTCCAACGTTAGCAATGTCGGGCCCAATGCGACGTTTTTGAACAATGCGGGACTGCTGACGGACATTGGATCGCTGTATCTGGGCGGTGGCCTGACTGGAGTGCTTCCAACGTCCAACTCGTAGATTCGGAAAACTGAAGATGAGAATGGCGTTGATACTTGGAGAGAGTATATAACTGCCAGATAAAAGAAAAGGGCATGGGTGTATATAAAATGACGAAGAAATGTACATGAGATCAAAGAGGAGAAGCGTTTTCGGCTTCATGACTTGTAGCGTATCATGACGGCGTATGCTTTGTGATGTGCTCAGAAGCATTATATATCTCACTGCAAATACACTATAAATTTGAAAAAGAACTGATCTAATCCTCTGCAAGTTTGTGGTTACTACCTAGTACTTAGGTACTTACCATAAGCGTTCCTTCCCATGAGCCGATAGCCAGTGCCTTCTCGATTGGGAGAACACGACGTCATGTTGTCTTGCAGAATGCCGTGCAACATCTTGATCGGAAGGAGCCTCTCACATTCTTCACTCCCAACAATCTCCATCTCTTCTCCTCTTCTCTTCTTTTTTTTTCCCCTCTCTTTTGCTCTCCTCTCATCTTCTCGGTTGATACATCAGCTTCTTCGCCTACCCAGCGAGTGAGTATTAATGATGCCTGAAATGAATCTCCAGTCAATGTACTGACCGTTCCAATTTCTTCTCTAGATCCTCATCCACCGCTTAGACATTGCACTCTCCACGCCCACTCCTCACATCACCTACAGCTTACATAGGCAACGAATGTCCGGGGATGACGCTCGAATTCGACAGATCTATCTACCTATCTAAACCAAAAGAGGGTATTAAACATTAATGACAAGGGATGAAAAAAGAGAAAAGGAGAACCCATGGCCCAGCACGGCGGCAAAGGGAATTTGGTAAGAGAAAATGTAAGATAAGAGGGATGCAAGCCAGGGAAAAAGATGAGCCGGCCACTGCTCACAGCGACAACAGCCGGTCCACGTTTTCCCCCGCCCTCTCACCTCTCTCATCTCACGTTCTCTCTCAGAGATGGAGGATGAAAAGAAAAAAAAGTTGAAACCGCAAGAGGAGAGCAAAGGCGGAAAGCAGAGGGAAACAAACGAACTGCCCATCATTCCGGAGGAACAAGGGGCAGCTGGGTATTTTCTCTCTGCTTCTTCCTCCAACCTCCTGCTGCGCTTCCAAAGATGAAGAGAGAGAGAAAGACAAAACAGAATGAAGAGATGAAAACATATTCCACTCTCATTCGCCTTCTCCCACTCTTCGTATTCAATTCTCCCAGCACCTCTTCCATGTTCCCAGATGTCCCCGTCTCTGTCTGGCTCTTCTCTTTCTTTTCCCTCTTCTCTTTTCCCTCTGTCACAACCCTCTCAGACCAATCAACACCCAATGAAGAGAAAAAAATGACAAGGCACACTAAAGAAATCCGACTTCACATGAACTCCTCGTTCACGGCTAGTCAACCAAGACACTAACAAACTCTTAGGAAAACCGAGAGATCTGTCTATTGCACCTAGACAGTACTACACTATTGTGGCGCCATAAAACCGATCCTTCAAATCAAGCAACGTACTGGGCACATCTCTGATGCAGCCGATCCGCTCAAAGGCTCCAGGATACCGCATCGACCGGGTCAACACCAACCCATCCCACCTATCGAACACGATTCCTTCACAGCCCACGTCATGATCTCCCCTTTGCCTAATGCAGAGTATAAACGCCACTGCCCTGGTCGTTTTGCGTCCCAGCAGATTCGGCTTAAACTCATTATGATTGCGCGTCAAGAATGCACGTGTATGGAGAGGATTGATTTCTCTTTCTTTCAAAAACCCCTTTCTGCGTAAGCGCTGTGAAATCTTGGAAACATGTCTTTTGCGCAGCCGGTCCAAGGCACCCTTGGCCTTGACCGTGACAAGTGCACCATCTCCAACAAAGGGGTATGCCTTGATCTTGTTATCCTCCTTGCCACGAAAGTAGGCAAACTGGAAGCGATCCCCGCCAGCACCCTCGAGCGTCTGGCTGACCTCACATCTGAACATGAAACCTTCCACACGAATCCAAGCCCCATGAACGCTGCCACAGGGGTCATCGGGGTCCGTTGGGATGCTGCCACATCCAACCACTCTTGCCTCAGCCCTGGAAGTCCAGGAATTGTCTCGCCATACAACCGGAGCGTCAACAGAAGCCCAGGAGAAGGACGGTGCCCTTTGCTTGGTGAATGGCAGGGTTATCTTGGTCACGTTCGTGTTAGTTTGTGATCGGCGCAAGCTCACTTCCCATAACAGACCCGTGGTCATGGTCTTCCACCAAAGGCCTGCGACATACCGGTCTTGAATGCCCATGTCTGACATGGAGGCCAGGGTAGATAACTTGGCGAGCCTATCTTCTCCGCGAAGCTTCTTGCACGAGGTGTGGAACTCAACAGCATGAAGCCACAGTTGCGACGCATCGCGTGCCCCGTATCGCTCTGGCATCCCTCGAGACCAATCACCCCTGTCATACTTCCTCACTCCTTCGCGAGTACAGTCATGGCGTCTGCACTGGCACATGATGCCTCCCGACGTGAAATGAATTACACGAGTGCCTAGGAGGCCTTCAGTAAGGCACCAGTGTCGCCCATAGAGCGGGCCGGTTCGTCGAAACGACCCGGGAGCAACGCTGACAAGATGCGACGCCTTGTCGAGGGCATCGAAGGGGGTCTCCGGGCGGGAGAACTTCCTGCGCAGGGTCAGGGTAATTTGGGCGCCGCTTGGGGCTACAAATGGAAGCCGCTTGGTGACCCAGTCCTTCTTTGGAGGATGGAGAAACGCGTCATTCGGCGTGACAGCGGATGCCGCGACAATGGTCAGGATGGAATCCCGAAAATAGCTGCCCACCATGGGATTTTGCACCCTTAGATCCTCATGGCTATCCTGGATGATGCACATGGAGTCGATGAAGAGGAAGTGAATGTCGTTGAGGTGGGCAATCCTGGCAGCGTCTCTAATGGCTGCTGGCAAGCCGGAAATCGTCCGACCCTCTTTCCAATCGTCCATGTTGGACATGAGGAGCCTAGGAACCCCCGGGTCAGTGTTGAGCCAAGTATGGCTCAACGTCGCGTACTCTATAGGGTCCGGAACGTCTGGGAACCCTGGAGGGTTGGACAAACACTCCCACAGAACGACTTCATCGTTGTCGCAGTCGATGTACAGCAATCGGTTGGGGGTGTTGTAGCATTGATTCGTGGCGTCCTTGTAACGCGAGCAACCTCGGAACCAATATCGAAAAAAGCCTTCACTAGCACGGTGTTTGTACGAGTCATCATCTTCCGAGGCTGTCGGCTCCGCGCTGGGAAAGTCTGAATCGGTCAATGAACCCCGATCCATGATGGAGACTTCGAGATCGGCACGAACAAGAGTGAAGTCGTGGTGAACAATAAAGGCCGTGGCGCAATTCAGAATCAGGGGCTGACCAGGTCGAACCTTTACTTGGACAATGAGGGTCGGGTCCTCCCGAGCATCCTCTCTCCAGTTTGCAGTACTATCTTTGAAGAAATGATTGAGAGTATCGAATAGCAATCGGCAGTATGGGCAGTCAAGGAGTCTGTCGGCATCATCGATTTTCTTGCCACCCAGGTTGCCATAATCATCGGCATCCTTGCCATCACGGAGGAGGTGGTTTGTGAAAATCTCGATGATGTAGAATTCAGGGTCACCGCGAATTCGAGTTCGCGCGGTACGACGGGCCTCTAACGCGTGCACTCGTTCGAAGTCTTCACAGAACTTGAAGTTGTTGCAGACACGACATGTGTGCTCGAATTCGGCGAGGAGCTTGCTGAGTTTGCCATTGCCGGTAGCTTGAGGCGCATAGAATTCTAGAGGACGATCGGGAGACTTGATGACTTTAGGACGATCGGGAGGCAAAGCGTCTTCAGGAGAATCGACAAGCAGGCTGCTTATCTTTACCCGCATCGTTTGATTGAACAAGGGGTATAATTCAAAAGTGCAATTGAGAAGAGGAGTGTAAGCTGCTACTGGTAACAAAGTGACCAGAGGAAACGAGGATCTGTTCTGTTGAAGGTGAAGGCTTGTGATCGGTATTGTTGTACGAGCGAACCGACTTTTTATACGTGTGTGTCTCGAAAGAGATTGTGGGATGCATACACAGAGAGACGATAGAGAGAGACAGAGAGAGAGAGCCCGGATTCAGAGACAGGGGCGACGGTGCTGGGGAGTGCCAATCTGTCTGTTCACCTGTCCATCTTCTCACATCGAACCGCTTTACGCATCATGGCCTCTATACCGCCGGCCGCTCACATGATTTTCCTTGTTTATTTCCTTTCTCTCTTGGTTTGTGTCTCTCATCTCCTTTTGGAGCCCATCAGAAGAGAGATTTCAAGCCTCAAAACGCCTCTTTTCCAAGGATAGGCTCTCTTGATGCATGGTCCCATCTCGGTGACTGCAAAGCCGCATGGGAGTGAACACAGATTCCCCACCGCAACTGAGAGAAAGCACGCGTCTCATTCGCCGATTTGCGAACCTGTCCGCCTCACTTTTGGGTGGGCTCGATGTGAGTTGGAGCCAGGAAGTTTTCCATCACGCTCGTGAGCTTTGCAGCCACACCGACAGGGGGGGCCCATGGCATGAAGCGGTAGCGGAAAAGTTGGGAGCAGGAGATCTGCCGGGAGCTACCGTCAAGAGCCCACTCGGTGGGAAGAAGGGATTCCGTTTACGGGCATCTGGTCATACTAATGCTGGGCTACAGCAGGTACTGGCCATGGCAAAGTGAGGCCGTCATCAAGGCCCTTTTTTTGATAGAGATGGCGATTCGACTCACGAGCTTGATCCAGATCCCCTTCCCCCGTCTCGACGCCATTTCTCCAGCTGATGTGGCCCCGAAGTCGCGAGACAGGTAGGGATGCATGGGCAAAGGCGAATCAAAAGGCGAGACATGCGAGAGGAGAAAAGAAAAAGAAAGAAGGAAAATAATGTGATTGCTGCTTGGGAAGTGCAGCGCCGCGCAGCAAACCATGGCATATGCGAGCTGCACGAATTCAGACCCCATCAGCCGTAGCGGCAATCCTCCTCGGTCCACACACCCCTGATGAGAGATCTTTCTTT